AGAATAGAATAGAATAGAATAGAATAGAATAGAATAGAATAGAATAGAATAGAATAGAATAGAATAGATATTGGAATATAGAATAGAATTGAATTCTTTATTGCCCAAGTGTGATTGGACACACAAGGAATTTGTCTCTGGTGCAAAGGCTCTCAGTGTACATAAAAGAAAAGATATATTTGTCAAGAGTCAAGAATCATCAGGTACAAGTCATAGGCTACAATAAGCAACTAAATCATACTAGGAAACAGTCAATATAAATCGTAAGGATACAAGCAACAAAGTTACAGTCATACATTCACAAATGGGAAGGGATGGGGGATAAGGAGTGATGAGAAGATTAATAGTAATAGTACTGCAGACTTCGTAAATAGTTGGACAGTGTTGAGGGAATTATTTGTTTAGCAGAGGGATGGCGTTCGGGAAAAACGGTCCTTGTGTCTAGTTGTTCTGGTGTGCAGTGCTCTTTTGTGTCGTTTTGAGGGTAGGAGTTGAAACAGTTTATGTCCAGGATATGAGGGGTCTGTAAATATTTTCACAGCCCTCTTTTTAACTCAGGGTGCAGTATACAGGTCCTCAGTGAAAGGCAGGTTGGTAGCCATTCTTTTTTCTGCAGCCCTAATTTCCCTCTGAAGTCTGTATCTGTCTTCTTGGGTTGCAGAACCAAACCAGACAGTTATAGAGGTGAACGTTCATCCATCCATCCATCCATCCATCCATCCATCCATTAATTCATTAATTCATTCATTTATTTCCTGCAGATCAGAGACCAGCCTGTGATTGGCCAGTTAATTCCAGACAGCTACTTAGAACTTGAGAAGAGCATTCTTGAAATACGCAAAACATTGCCGGCTGAATTCCCCGTGATTGGCCAGGATCAGCTTTATGAATTGGTGCAAGAAAAGCAGCTGCAATTGGATGAAAACGAACTTTCTCATGCAGTGCATTTTCTGAACGAATCGGGTAAAAATATATGGCTAGTCAGTGGGTCTGCCATCCCATTTTTCATTTAACAAAAAAAGTTGCACTAAGTTGGGCAGTGTGTTTATTTATTTGATTGTTGTCTTGCTTTTATTACTTGATAAGTTACTCAAGGAGGCCAACAAATCCAATAGTCTGCATCCTGTTTTGGTCACCACACTATAAAAAAGACATTGAGACTCTAGAAAGAGTGCAGAGAAGAGCAACCAGGATGATGAGGGGACTGGAGGGTAAAATATATGATGAACAGTTGCAGGAACTGGGCCTGGCTAGTCTAGGGAAGAGAAGAACCAGGGGAGACATGATAGCAGCCTTTCAATATTTGAGAGGAGGAGGGGGTCAAGCTATTTTCCAAGGCACCTGAAGGCCAGACAAGGAATAATGGATGGAAACTGAACAAGGAAAAATTCAACCTGGAAATAAGGAGAAACTTTCTGACAGTGAGAACAATCAACCAATGGAACAGAAGGTGCCTTCAGAAGTTGTGGGAGTTTCATCACTGGAGGCTTTCAAGAAGAGACTGGGCTGCCCTCTGTCAAAAATGGTGTAAGGTCTCCTGCTTGGGCAGGGGGTTGGAGTAGAAGACCTTCAAGGTCCCTTCCACCTACTCTACTCTACTCTACTCTACTCTACTCTACTCTACTCTACTCTATGTTTATTCTGTTCTGTTCTATTCTGTTCTCTGTTCTATTCTTATTCTTTTTCTTCTCTTTTTTTCTATCCTTTTTTTTCTTTTCTATTCTTTTCTATTTTCTATTCTCTCCTCTTCTCTACTGTAATTGTCTTCTCTTCTTTAATTCTATTCTATCCTATCCTATTCTATCCTACCCTACCCTACCCTACCCTACCCTACCCTACCCTACTCTACTCTACTCTACTCTATTCTATTCTATTCTATTCTATTCTATTCTATTCTAGTTCTTCTCCTCCCATTTTCCCAGCAACAACCACGCTGTGAGGAGGGTTGGGCTGAGAGAGGGATGGACTCCTCCACTGAACAAAGGATAGTGAATTTTAAAGTTCACCCAGTCCTCGACTTGCAACAGTTCATTTAGTGACCATTTAAAGTTACAACAGCACTGAAAAAAGTGACTTATGACTGTTTTTCACACTTAACAACAGCTGCAGCGTCCCCCCATGGTCATATTGATGATGGTTGCAGTGAACCGGGGTTGTGTGATCCCCTTTTGCTACCATCTGACGAGCAACGTCAGTGGGGAAGCCAGATTCACTGAAGAACTGTGTGTCTAATTTAATGACTGCGGCAATTCGCTTAACAGCCGAGGGAAAGGAAGGTCGTAAAACGGGGCAAAGCTCACTTAACAAATGTCTCACTTGGCAGCAGAAATGTTGGGCTCCATTGTGGTCGTAAGTCGAGGACTACCACCTGCAATAAACCGTACTATTGTTAAAATGCTCCGTACGCACCGATACATACTAAAAAAGACTTTTTTTTTTTAATTTAGGTGTCCTGCTGCACTTCCAAGATCCAGCCCTTCAGCTCAGAAATCTCTATTTTGTCGATCCCAAATGGCTGTGTAAAATCATAGCCCAGGTCAGTCTCAGTTGTCTTTTGGAAAAGCGCCTTGGGGGTGTCTCCACTGTCATCTCTCCCACCTTGTGTTCCCTGCCTTGGCTAGGTTATGTTTCCTGAGACCATAATTAAGCACATGCTTAGTCCAAACAGCCCTCTTTTTATTTCAACAGCTGGGAATTATGTGCATTCCCAGCCCGTTATGAGTCCCAAACAGTCCCTCGAGATAAGCATCCACCTTTTAATTGCTGCCAACAACTAAAGTGCCAAATTAACTGTAAAAACCAACCAAAGTACAAAGTCCAGACAGAGCTTCAAGGTTTAATCCGAACAGAGTGAACAACGTTGCTTCCTGCAAAGGCTCCTGTCCCTTTGCTCCTTCTTTATGCCTTATGGGAGGGGCCAATCACCTTCAAGCCTTACTCCCAAGTCGCCCTTTTATCTTAACTGCTCTAGCCTTCTGGCAGCTCTGTGCAACACACACTGGGAGCAGGGTCCCCTTGCTCCTCTTCCTCACTGCTGCCAGATATTCCCAGATGGCCCTGGCTCCATCTCTGTATTGGATGCAGGACCCTCGTCCGAGTCCTCCCCAGACTCCCGGACTGGCCCATGTTCCTCCCCACTATCCGACTCTGCTGCCGTCTGCTGGCAGATCACAACACATAGTTTTTCTCTTATCTTCCAGGTCTGAGAATTTTTTTTCTGTATGATATTTAGTTTTTTGGGGGAAAGTTAAAATGCAAAACACCCCAAAATTACAGACAGTTCATTGAGTGGCCATTCAGAGTTACGACGGTCCTGAAAAAAAGTGACTTTATGACCGTCTTTCACACTTTTTCATGACCATTGCAGCATTCCCTCAGTCACGTGATCAAAATTCAGATGCTCGGCAACTGGCTCATGTTGATGACAGTCGCCGTGTCTTGAGGTCATGTGATCCCCTTTTGTGACCTGAGAAAGCAAAGTCCACGGGGGAAGCCGGATTCATTTAACAACAGGGTTACTAACTTGTCAGCTGGAGTGATTCACTTAACAATGGAGGCGAAAAAGTAAAATGGGGGCAAAACTCACTTACTAAATGTCTCCCTTAACAATGGAAATTTTAGGCTGAATTGTGATGATAAATCGAGGACTATATTTAAAAAAACAATGAAAAGATAAAAAGACATTTTAAAAAATGTCTTAGGAAAAAAAGACACATAACAGCCTCCCTAATTGAATGCTGATGAATATAATATGACAGTATTAATTTCCTACGCCTTATAAAACAGGCCAGAAGAATTCTAAACAATAAATCTGTTCTAAATCTGTTTACAAGTTGTTAGCCTATCATCTAATGACTGTCAACAAAACAGTTAACAGGGAAAACAGTAATAAGGATATTGTATAAAGGTATAAAAATAATATGAATACAGGTTTGAGAAACTTTTCAGTAGCTCTTCATTCACATTTTTTATAAAAATACATTTTTATTTTTATTTCTTTACATACATCATTAGGTGAACAGTGTTGTTCCAGGTCATTTAACATTTTAATAATAAACATGACCCTAACTATAATATTACCAATTTTTTTATCTAATTTAATATTAATATTAATTTAATATTACATGTATCAGCTTTTGTTTATTCAATATTCTCATATATTACTTAGTATCATTCTCTATATTTTTAATATCACTTTTTGTATTATATATATTCTTTTAATAGTCATATTTGTGGAATTTAACAAATTACATCATTCAGGTATTCATATATTCATCTTAGGTTGTATTATCCAATATTTATCCCCTTTTAATGTTAGTTGTGCCACTGTTATATTTTTCACATAAGTTCCTCTCTAATCTCATTACAGTACATAGGTTATATTTTCCATCTTATAGTCATTTAACAGGCTATAATTAATTTACGTTCTTGATAGCAGAGAAATAATACTGCTTTGTGTGTAACAGTTTTGTGTATGAGGCGTTACAATTGTACCTTATGATTTATGATTTATCCCTTTTTATGATTTGTGATCTATCACTTTGTTACTTGCATGTACACTGAGAGCTTTTGCACCGGAGACAAATTCCTTGGGTGTCCAATTACACTTGGCCAATGAAGAATATTCTTCTTCTTTTGTATTTGAAAATGAAGCGGAAAGGTCGACGTATGGTATGATTTTTAAAACTAAGCCAATTGGAGTGAGGTTTGTGAGATGGATTTCTCTTCCGTAGATCTTGACGGTGAAGGTGGATGGCTTTACCAAATACCCCAAAGGGATCATAAAGCGTTCTGATGTTGAAAAATCCCTGCTAAAGAACATTAAATTCCCTGAGATTTGCAAGTGCCAATACTTCAAGCTTCTAGAGAAATTCCAAATTGCTTTGCCGTTAGGGGAAGATCAACTGCTTATTCCAAGCAGGTAATCAAAAATTAGAATTGATTGTTACATGGGCATTGTCATGCCCTTGGTAGAGTTGGATTCTGAGGGAGAGGAAGAACAGCCTACAGGGAGTAGAGGTGTGGCTCTGGAGGTTGTGGAGGAGGCTGGGGAAGGGCACAGGCCGGCTGGGCAGTCAGAGGAAGAACCAGGCCCATCCCCTCTTCATCCTAGGACACGCAAGGAGGAACGGAGAAGGCAACAACTTGGCTTATGAGAGAGGAAGCAGCCATGGTCCCCCTCATTGGTTGCAGCTGGGGAGAATAGTATATAAGAGAGACCGTTAAAACACAGCGTTGCCAGAAGCAAAGTGTCTTTTATTTTGGGCTGAAGTTATCTTGGTTGGTGTCCTTCCAACAGATTGTGCCTTGTTATCTCCCTGAAGTTGGTAATTACTTATCTTGGTCCGTTGTGGAAATTCCTTCATTGTAGTTTGTTTTAGTTTTTTATTTCACCTTTATTTGCTCATTAAGTTCGGACTGTATTGCTTTCTTTTGAAGACTATTTTTGAATACATTTTATCTCCAACTGAGAATTATTGAACAGTGGGGCCAAGTTGGAGGCATTAAAGGACATTTATTTATGTTTCGGATTTTGTTACGTTTGTGTTACAGTCTGGGTCATCACAGGCATTTGCAGGGGGTACAAATAACATCTCATACATTATAACTTCATTAAGAGATGATGTGAATTATTAAATTTGCAGAGCCCTTGGTGCTCTCTGAGCTTGATTGTTTTCTTGCAGATGTTTCACAACCCGACTAGAAAACATCATCAGTACTAGAAGAGAGTGGGGTTTGCTCTCATTTTATATACCCCTGGCTTTCCCTGTCAGTGTTGCTGGGAATGGTCTGGGTGGTTCCTTACTATTGTATACTGTTAGTTTATTTGTCTGAGTTGGTAGTTCCTTGCCTTCTCTGCTTTTTGATTGTTAGAAAGGAAACAACATTCCAAAATAACCTCCTCACCAATGATCCACACACAGAGGAGCAAAGATTAACCCTAAGATTAACATTAGACCCACAATCAAGATGCAAATAATACAAAACTCACTTCCTACTAGCACTGATAATCTAGTTTGGTCATGAATCATTTGCAAAAAAACCCACCAAGCTCAGAGAGCACCAAGGACACCTCATGTCAATCCTGAGCTACAAATATTCTCCTTTGTCAGTATCAGAATAGAATAGAATAGAATAGAATAGAATAGAATAGAATAGAATAGAATAGAATAATTGGAGGTCTCCTAGTCCAACCCCCTGCCTAGGCAGGAAACTCTGCACCATTTCAGACAAACAATTATCCAACATCTTTTTAAAAACTTTGAGTGTTGGAGCATCCACAAGTTCTGGAGACAAGTTGTTCCACTGATTAATTGTTCTCACTGTCAGGAAATTTCTCCTTAATTCTAAGTTGCTTCTCTCCTTGATTAGTTTCCACCCGTTGCTTCTTGTTTTTTCTTAGTAACTGTTTGCTTTCTTTAAATCGTAATATGTGAAATGGGTATCCACAATAGGTAAATCTATGGATTGGAAATTGTCGGTGTCCACTGGAGAGGGAGTCAAGAGAGGAATAAGCCTAGAGTTATTTATTACGTTGCCACAAGTTCAGTTCCACCCTGAGCTACAAATATTTTCTTTTATTGTTTGATTTCTATCGGAGTCACCGAAGCAAATTTAGACATTTGCTACCATTTGTGTAACAATCCCAAGGTGCACAATAAATCACAGGGACTTTTTAGTCCCTTATGTCCGGCAATAATTATAACTCAAAGAAGATACTCTGCTCCTTTTGACTGTCACCCCATTGTCAACTTGGGGAATGAAAATTTTTTTAAAAAGTGAAAAATAGCTCCCCTTTAAAATTTCTTTCTTTTTTTTCTCTTTAAGCTTGTCGGATCAACGGCCTGTGATAGAATTGCCTCACTGTGAAAACTCTGAGCTTATTATAAGATTGTATGAGATGCCATATTTTCCAATGGGATTTTGGTCCAGGCTAATTAATCGACTGCTTGAAGTGTCTTCATACATGCTTTCTGGAAGAGGTACAAGAATGGAAGGAAATTAGCTAAATCTGTTCGAAAAGTCTGTGTTGTTAGGAAATTAGCTGAATTATCACTTAGTTCCATGATCGGTATTTGGTTTTATTTTTGGTTTAAGATTTTTTTGTTGAGTTATAAGATAAAATAAGATATAAAATACAAAAGTAAATAGGAAAGCAGTGGGAAGGAAGAGAGGGAAGAGAAGTGAAGTAGGATTAGGAAGAAGAGAAATAAGCATTCCATCAGCTCCATCAACTCCTGCAAACATTCATCCATAGCAGGAATCAAAGAATCCTTCCACTTTTGTGCATACAATAATCTTGCTGCTGACAACATATATAACAAAGTCCCAATTTTTTTTCTCCAAGTCTTTTTTCCATTAGACCCAAAAGGAAACATTCTGGTTTCATCTTTATCTCCATTTTCAAAATTTTCTGAATTAAAATATGAATCATACTCCAAATTTTTCCCCTGTATTACATATCCACCATAGATTATTCTTACTTTTACACTTCCAACATTCATTTGACATACCTTTGTACATCTTAGATAACTTATCTGGTGTTATATACCAGCAATACATCATCTTATAGAAATTTTCTATATAATTTAACTTAATGTAAATTTTAAACCCTTTGTCCACATATTTTCCCATTGTTCAAGCATCACATTACTTCCAAAATTCCTTGCCCACTGAATTGTACGATGGGTATTTTGTTTTTTTAAAGTCACTTACACGATTGCTTAATTCACGTTACATTTTTAGCAGGAGCTCTGAGACTCTGTAGGCTGAACCAAATTTGATACAGAAAATATTGCTTGCATTTGTCCAATTTCAATGGGAACTACTTTCGGGTACAAAGAGATAAAGATCAGGCTGTTATATGACATTTTGGAATGGTTATCCTGGTTTTGTTGCAAAGGATCTTCCAACAGAAAGGCACTTCTGTGAATTGGAGATAGGTAGCTAGATTATGAATACTTATAGATGCAAACTTAAATATTTAAGGGACTTCATTTAGGGATCTGGAACACATGTGTTAGTTACCTAAGACATACCTAATGCCATGTAGGTTCTAAGACATTTTATACTTAGAATCCTAAAACTATGAAGGGTCTCAGACGTCCTGTCTCATATCTTCATAATATTAGGATTCCAAACACTGTTAATTTATGACAGTAGAAATAATTTGGGCCAAGGTAGATATTTAGATTAGTGTGAAGGTCAAAAAAAGTAGTATTTAAACCCTAAGGAAGCAGGAGTACTACATGTATTGATCTCATGATGACTATATATTGAGAAAAGTTCCCAACCTGAGATTTGAACCCGAGGCTTGTTCCAGATTTTTCCATGCTTGGGCTCAAAGTAATTAAGATTGCAAAAAGTTATTGTTAGTATAGGCTGGGAAAGATGGCTGTTTTTCTTGTTTTTGCATACTTCATGTTTCTAACCCCCCCCACCAATCTGTGATGAAAAAAATATTTTTTAAGGATCCTGTTTGGATAGATTGAGACTATAAATTTATCCCGCACATAAAATCATGCCAGAGAAAGGGATCGTATGTGAATTTACAATGGATATATGTGTGTGTGTGTGTGTATAGAGATATATATAAAAACGGACTTAACATCCCTCCTTTTCTTCTTAGAACGAGCGCTTCGCCCTAACAAGATGTACTGGAGGCAAGGCATATATATGAACTGGTCCCCAGAAGCTTACACCCTGGTGGAATCTGCAGTTCTGGAAAACAATCTAAACAGCTTTTTAAAAATCACAGTCCCTTCTTGCAGAAAAGGTTAAATATTTGTCCTAACCTTCTGGAGGGAGGGGGGAATTAAGATATTGTGTTGTGGCCTGTCGGCCACCAGCCCCTCCAGCAGCTGAATCAGAGGAGGAGGAGGAGGTGTGGGAGTCAGGGTCAGTATCAAGGCAACCTGAGGGCTCTGAGGGGGAAGAGGGAATGGAGCTGGCAGAGAGAGAGAGGAAGACAGAGGCGGAGCCTGGGCTGTCCATCAGCCCTCAGATGGAGAGTCAACAGCCCCCAGGTCTGGATGTGGCTGATGAGGAACAGCTGGGCCCAGTGCCTGATGTGTGGATGTCAGAAGGCAGAGGAGAGGAGAGCAGTGGAAATCTATGGGCCGGTCCTTGGGACAGAAGAGCCACTGCTGCTAGTGAAGCCCCACCCTAGCTCTGGGGATAAAAGGCAGGGGGCGGAGATGAATAGATGTGGCAGGCAACTATTCATCCTCCCTGCTGGACAGACTTGTTGGCCTGAGGAGAGAGAGAAACTTTTTGCCAGGGTGGCCGACGCTCTTAATAAAGGAATCATTGCTTCAACTACAGAAGGGTTTGTCGTGTTTGGGGAGCTGGGTCAGAACACGTTGTTGGTTTTGCTCAGCAGAAAACTTCATCGTGTATTTCTAATTACAGGTGCAGCAAAACACAGTTTTTACTCCTCTTTTCTTTTTTTCTTTTTTTTACCTCCCTGACTTTCTCAAGGTTGCATCATTTTGGGGCAAGTTGTAGATCACATTGATTCTCTTATGGAGGAGTGGTTCCCGGGTTTATTGGAAGTAGACATTTGTGGTGAAGGAGAAACGCTGTTGAAGAAATGGGCTTTGTACAGCTTTGAGGACGGAGAAGAACATCGGAAAATATTGCTTGATGACTTACTTAGAAAGGCAGAGGAAGGTAGGTTTATTACAGTATTTCGACCAATCCATTCCAAAATATTGTTTTGGTTTACAGTAATAAATGTATACCTCTTACTGTCAATTTCATAGTATTTTTTATGTCAAAATCATAGTCTGATCACTCTCTAGCATGCAGCAAGAATCTCTATATATAAAAGCAAAAGACCACTCATGCATCATCACAAAATCTCCAAAACGGTTAAACCTACAAACTTGAAATTTGGCCCGTATGTTCCTCTTGTCCATTCATGTAGCATGAAACCAGGAGTGGGATGCAAATATTTTTTACTACCGGTTCTGTGGCCATGGCCATGTGACTGGGTGGGTGTGGCTTCTTTTTTTTGCAGCACCCCACCCCCATGCTCCATTTTTTTTGCCTTCTGGGCCTCAGGGAAGCTTCCTGAGAACCCATTTTGGCTCCCAGGATGCTTCCCTGAGGCCCAGGAGGTAAAAAATGGGAGCATGGGAGGTCGCGCAGCACCTTTCTGCCTCCTGGGCCTCAGGGGAGCCTCCTGGGTAAAGCAGTAAGACAGTGAGGCGGATCCCTGCACAGCTAATCGTTGGAACAGCTGATTGTTGGGAGAGAAAAAAAAAGAAATACTGGTTTGGCTAAACCAGTAGCTGTTTTTTTTACTGCTGGTTCGGCCGAACGGTAGCCGAACCGGTGGAATACCACTACTCCAAGAAACTGTTTATATGTTATAATGACTGTACAGGTGTGCATGTATGTAGATCCTTGATTCATTTCCCAGTATAACCTGGAGCCATTAGAGTCAAAAGTTTGTCTACCTTATTGAAATGTGCAATATATAATGATTTTTACAACCCGTACTTCCCAATGGATCATTGTAGCAATGCGTCCTTAAGATTACATAGAGCGCATCATTTGTGTAATAGTGTCATTATGTAAATGACATAGATTACAGGGGCTGCCCCAAAGAAGAGGGAGTCAAGCTGTTATATATTTGCATACTTACCTATGATGGGTTGGTCCGTGGTGGTGGGAGATTTGAAGAGCTGTCATTGGCCATGACCCGCAAGCAGCCGGCTATAAAAAAGGCTGCCGCGGTTTCTCCGTGTTCAGATTCTAGAAGGACATAAAGAAAGAAAAAAGGTCAACTGGGTCTCCAGTCTCTTTTCCCGCGACGCAACACAAGCTATTTTCCAAAGCACCTCAAAGCAGGACAAGAAGCAACAGATGGAAACTAAACCAGGAGAGAAGCAACTTAGAACTAAGGAGAACTTTCCTGACAGTTCTTTGCCTCCAGAAGTTGTGGGTGATCCATCCCTGGAGACTTTTAAGAAGAAATTGGACAGTTATCTGTCGGAAATGCTACAGGGTTTCCTGCCTATCCAGTTTCTTCTAGTTGGACTCTCCAAGGCAGAGGTGGTCTTCAGCAGGTTCTGACCAGTTCTGGAGAACCAGTAGTAGAAATTTTGAGTAGTTCAGAGAACTGGCAAATCCCACCTCTGACTGGCCCCGCCCCCATCTCTTCTCTGCCTCCCATTGAGTCTCAGCTGATTGGCCGGGTCTTTTTTGGTTGCCCTGCACAGGAGAACGGAGCTGGAAAGCAGGTTAGTGGGGTGGGGAGGGAATGGAGGTTTTACAGTATCCTTCCCCTGCCACGCCCATCAAGCCACGCCCACCACACCATGCCCGCCAAGCCACGCCCTCAGAACCTGTAGTAAAAAATATTGCATCCTACCACTGCTCCATCTGCTTCCAACTGTTATTGTACTCTATTTTACAGTGGAATTTGGTTTGATGTGCCAGCGCTTGAGAAAGTAGAGGTTCTACAGTATTAGTTTATCTTTCCGTTTAACCGATTACATTTCCATATCTATTCTTCTTTATCCATCAAGGTGACCTCTTAATAAATCCAGATCAACCAAAGTCTACTGTTCCAATAGCTCAAATTGCTCCCGATTTGATTTTGGCCGATTTACCTAGAAACATCATGCTGAATAATGATGAACTGGAATTCCACCAAGCTCCAGAGAACCTTCTCGGTAAAGACAATCGTTGTGTTGCATCCTACAGCTAAGAAAGACAAACAGTTCTAGGAATAAATGAGTTTCACCCAAAGCTCTTGAGGCCAAAGACTTCATTTAAATTAAATGAGGAATATTAATGTAACAGTTGTCTGTTGATGAAGTTGAGGAAGATTTTTAAATGCTGCATCAGACCCTGGTAGTGATATTCCTTACCTGCAATCAACCTTAAAAATAGCAATATTTTTAATTTAATTGGCATTGTTAGAAATGTTCTATGAACTTAGGAATTTCATTCAGGAGGTAAGGTAGAATTATTTTGGAGTACGCTCAATATGGATGCACAAGCCTAGAAAAACCAATCTAAAAGAAAAGAGAAATTTTCTACCAGTGAGAAAAATTAATCAGTGTTTGAGTGCTCCGTCACTGGAAACTTTCAAGAAGAGATTGGACAGCAGTTGTAAGGAATGATATAGTCTCCTGCTTGAGTAGCGGGGGTTGGACTAGAAGATCTCCAAGGTCCCTCCCAACTCTGTTACTTTGTTATCTATATATATAAAAGTGAAATACCACGCACGCATCATCACAAAATCTCCAGAACTGTAAAGCCTACAAACTTGAAATTTGGCACGTATGTTCTTCTTGGCTTCTAGGTGCTCACTAAGAAAGGATTTTTCGAAATGACCATCAGAGCATTAGTATTTCGTATATTATTATTATTAACATGCTCTGATGCTAAGGAGTTCTACTCCCCCTCCCCACCTGAAAAGAAATCTCTCCCAAATGCAAAACACAAGCAGAGGAGAGGAGTTTCAATTTCAGTTTCACAGCAGCAAGCAGCTTTAGTACAGAACAGTTGAGCTAAGCCATGCCCAGGCTCCTTGCTGTCTCCTCCTTGCTCACACAGAAAATACTGTTTCACTTTCCAAACAGCCCTCAACTCTCACACACTGACAGGATCTATCCAGATGAATACCAATGGATGCTGGTAGGAGAGGCAGAATTTCTCCCCCCTTATTTTCCTCCCCAAAAACTAAGCTCAACTACATAGTTTCGTAGCGAAGCTTGGGTACCTTGCTAGTTCAGTATATTTTACAAATTCAATCTTGCTGGTTTGAGGGGAATTCTGTCAAATTAAAAATTAATTATTTCAGCTCTGATTTCTTAACCTAGAATATGCCAAAACAGTGTTTCGACTATCTAGGCAATTATTCTATAAATTCAGGAAATGTAGCCTATTTTTTAAAAAAATATTGTCTCATATTTTCTGTCGGAAAGGCGATGGGGGATTTGGATCTGTGTATCGTGCTGTATATATTGGCGAAGAAGTAGCTGTAAAGGTTTTTAACAAACACACGTCCCTTCGGCTTCTGAGACAGGTGAGTCAATTCAGTCTGCAAAATAAATCACAAAGCCATAAATTACCGTGTAGAAATCACAAGAGCGCAACTTAATTAATAGCTACCAACCTTGTAGCCGACAGGGGTCATTAATTATTGGTGGCAAATATCCTCATAGAGGCCAAACCATTTTCAACGTGGCCTATTGTGGCATGATTCCAGAATAAAACTAGGGTTTGCTAGGGTGGTTTTTTTTCCCCGTTGCTGATTTTGGGGGAATAAATTATTTATTTTCAACTATTACATTTTTTAATGTCTGCTTTTTTTTTTGTCGATGCGAGAGCCTTATCAACTTCTCTGAAACCGTTTGTGACGCTTGGGATCTGTGAGACAGAGACTTGGCTGGGAAAATCTCTCTGTAGCATACGCTGCAAACATACCATTGTGTCTGTGGAGATTCTCACTCATCCAGGTCATGGTTGCCTCAAAAGTTGTTGTTTTAGATGTTCTTCTTCTTCTTCTTCTTCCCCTTCCTCTCCTCCTCCTCTCCTTCTTCTTCTTCTTCTCCTCCTCCTCCACAACCTTCACTTCATCCTCCTCCTGCTTTTCCTCCACCTTCACTTTCTCCTCCATCCTCCTCCTCCTCCTCTTCCTCCACCTTCACTTTTCCTCCTTCATCCTCCTCCTCCTCTTCTTCTCCATCCTCCTACTCCACCTTTACTTTCTCCTCCTCCTCTCTTCTCCTTCCCCTCCTCCCCACCTTCACTTTCTCCTCCTTCACTTTCTCCTCCTTCCTCCATCCTCCTCTTCTCCTCCCTCCTCTTTCTCCTCCATCCTCCTCCTCTTCTTCTCCTCTTCCTCCACCTTCGCTTTCTCCACCTTCACTTTCTCCTCCTTCCTCCTCTTCTCCTCCTCCTCCTCCTCCTCCACCTTCACTTTCTCCTCCTCCTTCCTCCTCCCCCTCCCTCCTTCCTCCTCCCCCTCCCTCCCTCCTCCTCCTCCCCCTCCCTCCTTCCTCCTCCTTCGTCCCTCCTTCTGAAAAAAAACAACAGTCCAGTTGCCTTTTGAAAAGAGCATCTTTGATCCACTATGGCCCAGAAGGCCGTGAATCTCCATAGACATTTAGCCATACCCTTCGGGGTGGACACCCTTCAAAACCTACCCTTCCAATCCTCCCACAACCGATGAAGCCTCTTGGATGAGAAGTGAAACTTCTTCTTCCTCCTCCTCAAGGAGAAAAACCCAAACCAGTCCAGCCCAGTTGCCTTGCGGGGGTTGTGGGGGGAAAAGCACTTTTGAGAAAGCACGGCAGGAGTGTGGCTGTCCTTTCACTTCCGTTTTTGCTGTGCCTAGGAACTGACGGTGCTTTGTCACCTCCACCACCCAAGCCTGGTATTCCTGATGGCTGCGTCTGTGCGTCCCCGGATGCTGGTCATGGAATTGGCCCCCAAGGGGTCCTTAGATCAGTTGCTGCAGCAAGAAAACGCCGGTCTAACCAGAACCTTACAGCACAGGATAGCTCTGCATGTGGCGGATGGCTTGAGGTAAAAAAAAAAGAGAAAACCCCTTCCTTTTTCAGTATGTAGGAATGTATCTCCCTCCCTCCCTCCCTCCCTCCCTTTCCTGTTTCTCTTTCACTCTCCCTTTCCCTCTTTCCTTCTCCCTCCTTCCCTCCCGGCCTCTCTCTCCCTCTCCCTCCTTCCCTCCCTCTCTTTCCCTCTCCCTCTCGCTCTCTCCCTTTCCCCCTCTTTCTCTCTCCCTCCCTCTCCCCTCTTTCTCTCTCCCTCCCCTCCCCATCTTTCTCTCCCTGTCCCCTTCTCCCTTTCTCTCCCTCCCTCTCCCCCTCTTTCTCTCTCATTCCCTCTCCTCCTCCCTCCCTCTTTCTCTCTGTCTATACATCTATATCTATATAAGGTGCCCAATAGCAATAGCACTTAGACTTATATACTGCTTCACAGTGCTTTACAACTCTCTCTAAGCGGTTTACAGAGTCAGCCTATTTCCCCCAACAATCTGGGTCATCATTTTACCAGCCTTGGAAGGATGGAAGGCTAAGTCAACCTTGAGCTTGTCAGGATTGAACTCCTGGCAGTTGGCAGAATCAGCCTGCAATACTGCACTCTAACCACTGCGCCACCAGGAAGGAAAATGAGAAAGGGAATAAGAAGAAGGGAGGGAGGGAGAGGGGAAGGGGGAGGGATGGGGGGAAGTAGTAGAAATAGCACTTAGACTTATATACCGCTTCACTGTGCTTTTACAGCCCTCTCTAAGCAATTTACAGAGTCAGCCTATGGCCCCCAACGATCTTGGTCCTCATTTTACCCACCTTGGAAGGATGGAAGACTGAGTCCAGCTTGGGACAGTGACGACTGAACCCCTGGCAGTCAGTAGAATTAGCCTGCAATACAGCATTCTAACCATTGCGCCACCATACTTCACCAATCATGATAACTTGTGGCCTTCAACTCCCGGAATTCATGACCGGCTTGGAAGTTTTGGAAGTCCACAAGTCTTCAGTTTGCCAAAGTTGGACACCCGTGCTCTAAATCTTTGGGATATAAGCACCCATTATATGTACCTGGTGTTATTTCTACTCCTCTCAGTGCCTCTCTTATTTTCTTTTTCATAACAGGTATCTACATTCTTCCATGATCATCTATCGCGACTTAAAGCCTCACAACGTCTTGCTGTTCACGCTTTATCCCAATTCAGCGGTCATTGCCAAGATTGCCGATTACGGCATTTCCCAATATTGTTGCCGAATGGGAATAAAAACCTCTGAAGGCACACCAGGTACCAACAACTTAGTAGCTTCTACATCTGAGTAACAAGGACTTTCTGAGGTTCTCAGGTGAAATTGGAAGTTGAATACTCATTCAAAAGTTCTAATTTATGTCTTTTAGTGTGTGTTGCCAGTGGGTTTTTGTTGCAAGGTTTTTCCATCTGTCTTGATTTTCAGTAGTTAAATTCTATTTATTTTGAAGTTTTATTTCTTGTCCCTTTCTTGTGACTCGTTTTCTGTGTAGCATTACTAATCAATTTGTATTTGTATATCAAATTTGTTCACGCATACAGTATGCATATATAGTGTGATTTTATATAGCTTATTCACAGGGGTGGGATTCAATTTTTTTTAACAACCGGTTCTGTGGGCGTGGTTTAGGTGGTGGGCGTGGCTTGGTGGTCATGTGACTGGGTGGACGTAGCTTGGTCATGTGACTGGCTGGGCGTGGCCAACTCAACATCACTCACATTGAGGCACGCATTTCCTCGCCTCCTCGTGACTGTGGGGATGCTGCAACAGTCGTAAGTGTGAAAAACGGTCATAAGTCACTTTTTTCAGTGCCATTGTAACTTTGAATGGTCACTCCACACAAGCAAAGTACCAGCAAAGGAGAGGAAAAAAACTCCAGAGACGTTCCTGAGACAGGAAGTCTAGTCCTGCCAAGAATGTAATAAGGGTTAACGGAGAGGCAGTTTCTGTAAGCAACACCAGAATGTTTCCTTCCTGCCTTCCTTACAGGATTAGACCAGTAATTTCTTCTAACAACCGGTTCTCTGAACTGCTTAGAATGTTAACAACCGGTTCTAGCGAATAGGTGCGAACCTGTAGAATCCCACCGCTGCTTATTCATACCTCCTAAAGTAATAAAGCCTTTTTATATACTGGGAAAATAATAATAATAATATTTTGATTTTCTTGTTTATATGTTCTGAAGACATTTAATATCATTTAAGATTCTTAAATTAAAACAAGATCAGCATCTGCCTAATAAAGACCGTAACAATTAATGATTCGTGGATTATTTTTCTTTCCTTTTTTAAAGGATTTAGAGCACCAGAAGTTGCAAGAGGAAATGTTATTTACAACCAGCAAGCTGATGTTTATTCATTTGGCTTGCTGCTGTATGACATTTTGACAGCTGGTGGGAGAATATTAGAGGGCATAAAATTTCCTAATGAATTTGATGAATTAGCTATCCACGGAAAGCTGCCAGGTATGTTCCATTTCCTTCCTGTCTGGTTATTATATGCAATATGCATTTGTACTTTTGTAATAATCTACTTTATCTTAATCTGTCCAGCAAATGTAAAAACAAAACACAGAAACAAGTGCATTCTCAGTCCTAATTTGGATATGTTTGAATTTTATTTGATTTTTTTTTAAATAAAGGTAAAAGGTTATAATGCAAAAAACTCCAAATCTGGATTATAAAGAAAACTAGAATCTTAAGCATTTTTTTAAAAAAAATTCTGTTCAGTCATGTCCAATAATTTCTGTAGCTCAAGTTTGAACTGCAGAGTCCTTCATTCCCTCTGAGCTTGGTGGTTTTCTTGCAGATGTTTCATTAACCAACTAACCAGAACATTCTCAGGGCTAAACCCAAGCACTGATAATGTTATTTACCTTGGTAATGAAACATCTGCACTCTGCAAGGAAACCTGTTGGAATTCATTGTTGGAATGTATTTCTATGCAACCACTACAGTAGTATTCAGCCAGTAGATGGCAGTATTTACAAGTTTGGATCTATGCTGTTTTGTCCTAAGTAGAGTTTCCTGTTTCCTGTTACAGTTGAACAGTTCAGCAGTAAAGCACATGGTGACTGTACTGTTTGTTTGTTCTGTGATGCTATATATAAACATAATTTCTAACAAATTTTGCAAAACAAATGTTAGTCTCTGTAATGCGATTCTCCAAATTACTCTCAGAATGATCTATTCTAGATCCTGTCAAAGAGTACGGCTGTGCCCCCTGGCCAAGATTTGAAGATTTAATTAAGAAATGTTTGAAAGAAAATCCTCAAGAAAGACCTACATCTGACCAGGTAGGCTCAGTAGACAGTAAATGAGACACTGATGTTCCCAGTGCTATAGATTTTAGCGTTAGGAACTTTTATACCAACTCATAAAACATTCCTATGCCTATTTTTGAGTTGCCATAAACAAGGGGGGTGGGGTGGAAATCTGAAGGAGAAATAGTTTAAAACCATTCCACATTTATCTCACAAAGATTGTAGCCAGGCTACTGCCTGGGAAAATCCTTCATTGGAGCCACACGATTGATGACACCCAGACTGTGAATGTGCTTCATTGGAGAATCTGATTTATGAAACACCCAGGGGGGATGGGGGAAACAGGATCACAGGTGACTGTGAATTACGTATGCCAGAGTTGGCTTCATTTTGGTTAATGCTGGCATGCTGCTCTTAATAAATCTTTTGGATTCTTTTGAAGCTTGGCTCACGGCTCATGATTTAATTAGGGCAATCGCCGGAACCCTGACATTTTACATGCAAAAACATTTAGTAAAAGATAGACGCTCTTAGATGCTATTGTGTTGTTGACTAACATATCTAGTTATGGTCGCTACGATGTAAAAAAGATGTTGAGACTTTGGAAAAATGTTCTGAGAAGAGTAACGAAGATGGAGCTAAAGACTGGAGCTAAAACATATAAAGAACGGTTGTTGGAACTGGGTATGTCTAATTTGATGAAAAGAAGGAGCAGGGGTGACATGATAGCAGTCTTCCAATATCTCAGGGGCTGCCCCAAAGAAGAGGGAGTCAAGCTATTGTCCAAAGCACCTAAAGGCGGGACAACAAGGGATGGTAACTAAGCAAGCAGAGAAGCAACCTAGACCTAAGGAGAAATTTCCTAATAGTGAGAACAATTAATCAGTGGAACAACTTGCCTCTAGAAGTTGTATATGCTCCAACACTGGTAGTTTTTAAGAAGAGATTGGACAGCCATTTGTCTGAAATGCTAGAGGGGATTCAGACTAGAAGACCTCCAAGGTCCCTTCCCACTCTGTTATTCTATTCTATTCTAATATGATATCCTCAGGTCTATGAAATGTTGAACTCCGCAGAGCTGGTTTGTTTCCTGAGACACATTCCAGTGCCCTCTCCTTTTGCGTCGGAGTGCATGGTGGCTACAAACCAAAGTAGCAAGAAGTGCGGGATCTGGATCGGAAGTGGTAGCAGAGGGGAAGCCCAGCTGTCCTTTGTCGACATAAATACCGATGAACGCACCTGTGAAGTAGGTTTCAAGGTTGACCTTCGAAGCAATGCTTCGTTATATATTGCCCCAGTGCATCTGTGGACTTAGCCATGGAATGATACTGAATCTCATAGACCAGGGGTGTCAAACTCAATTTCATTGAGGGTCGCGTCAGGGTTGTGTTTGACCTCGGGGGGGGCGTGGGGAAGGGCGTGGCCAGGGCAGGTGTGGCCAGCTCAATGTTACTTGTGTCAGGACGCCTGAGGCAGCCCGAACGCTCTGCCAGCAAAAACAGGCTCCCGAGCTCCATTTTCGGCTGGGACGGCCTCCTGCAAACCCTCTGCAGGAGTTCGGGAGGGGCGCACACGGCCCTCTCAAGCATCATTTTCACTGGCAGAAGCACCGCGGGTCAGATTTAAGCACCCCGCGGGCCAGAACTGGCCCCCAGGCCTTGAGTTTGACACTCCTGTCATAGACCACTATTTCTCAACCATGGCAACTTTAAGACAGACGGACTTCAGCTCCCAGCATTCTCCATGGCTGGCTGAGGAATTCTGGGAGTTGAAGTCCGCCTGTCTTAAAGTTGTCAAGATTGAGAAACACTACCCTAGATGCTTTAATTCAAAGGTCGGCAACGCCCGGGAGATGGTCCTATACAAATGGCAGATGACCATACCCACACGGACAGTTCCATTTCTGCAAATGGCAGGCATGCACACAAGTGCATGATGCTTCATTGGTGCGAGCGATGAGCACCCAAACCCTCTGCTTGTGCAAGTGGAACTAGATCCATGATAGCGAACCTATGGCACGCGTACCAGAAGTGGCACGCAGAGCCATTTCTGCCAGCACATGAACTGTCGCCCAGAACAGATCCACTGTGCATGCGTGTGCGCCTCCCTCCAGCCAGCTGATTGTTGGGTATCTGCTGGGGGGTGGTGAATGCGCGAGAGAGATGCACGAATGCGCAGAGACACGTGCATGTGGGGGGGGTAGTGCATGCATTATGGGTGCAGGCACACATGCGCGCACTTTCGGCACGTGACGATGAAAAGGTTAGCCATCACTGAACTCGATGGTTATGTAGAACCACCCGCTTTTTCTCTCCCCCTGCTACCGTGGGTCACCGCCTGTCCACAAAACCAGGGAACCACTGCTTTAATTAATGAAGCCATTATAGTTCAAAGCCATCGAGCGCACCGTTAGGATTTATATTTCTGTTTATTTTTATTTATTTTTTTGATGAATTCGTGGTCCAAAGCTTCCTCTTTTTCTCCCTTCCCTCTCTTCTCCCAGGACGTTGAAGATGGTAGGATATTGTGCTTGGCCTTGGTCACATTTTCTGCAGAGAAGGAGAACTGGGTGATCGCAGGAACCCAGTCAGGATCCCTGTGGGCCTTTCACACCCAAGATGGAGAGCGCAAGCATCGGTTTCACACGATGACAGATTCAATCACCTGCCTTTACTGCAGTCCCCCGTCAAAGCATAAGTACGTGTCAGGCACAAAAGACCCCAGGTCCCTTTGTGAATGCCTAAATTAAATTGATGTATTGCTAAAAATCGACGTGCAGGAATCTTCTCAATGAACAGTCCCTGATTAGAGTTAGATAAGGGTCAAATCAATTCAAGGTGGGTTGGCTTAGTTTGCTTGTCGCTCAGAGGGGGGCTTCAGCAGGTTCTGACCAATTCTGGAGAATCAGTAGCAGAAATTTTGAGTAGTTCAGAGAACCGGCCAATCCCACTCTGACTGTCCCCGCCAACCGCATCTATTCTCTGCCTCCCAAGTCCCAGCTGATTGGCTGGGTCTCCTTTGGTTGCCCTGCACAGGAGAACAGAGCTGGAAAGCAGGTTAGTGGGGTGGGGAGGGAATGGGGATTTTGCAGTATCCTTCCCCTGCCATACCCACTAAGCCATGCCCACAGAACTGGTAGTAAAAAAAAAATTGAATCCCACCACTGTTGTGGCTACAGAGAGATTCTCTGGTGATGTCTCTTTTGACTCTGCCCCCAGGTTCTGCCATTCTTTCTACACCAGGGGTTGGCAACCCACGGCTCTGGAGCTACATGTGGCTCTTTTATCCCTTTGCTGTGGCTCCCTGTCACTGGTTGAGAGGAGCTTCCAGTTAGGGAGAGGAAAAGCACAACCTATCAGGAGACTTTATGGCGAGGGGCCAGTTTTCTGGTCGGCTCCACAAATGATAGGGCTTTCGGTTAAGACAGGTAGAGGGAAAAGGACGCCGTGCTAGGAGGAGACTCTATGGTGGGGGAACCGGAGTTCCGGTTGGCAGAGGAAAAAGGATGCTGTGCTAGGAGGAGACTCTATGGTGGGGGATTTGGAGTTCCGGCAAGCAAAGGAAAAAGGACGTTGTGCTAGGAGGAGAGACTATGGTGAGGGAACTGGAGTTCTGGTCGACTCCGCAATTGAACAGGGGGCTTCCGGTTAGGACCTCCGAGGCTCTTTGAGTGTTTAAGGTTGCCGACCCCTGTCCTACACTTTGGCTGAATTTAGATTCCATTCCATACTGCCCATTGCTTCAAAACAGTCTTAAAAATACAGAAATGTTGATTTTTTTGTGAATGAAATGACTTAGTTCTTCATCCCTATTTAGACATCATTGTATTATTTGAGCACCACGTGATCAGAATTACTGCTGACTTTTGGCACAGGGCTAATGGTGCGGCTGTTTTGAGGGGGACATATTTAGCTTGCCCTTTGAGTACACGGGCTGGCCATTTCAGCTTTTCTTATCTCCAGGGTTACACATTTAACTGCATGGCTTCAATGCTGCCAATCTTATTTCACTGAATTCATTAAATGCATTTAAATTTAAATGTAATTCATTTGTACATTTCCTCCTTCCATTTCAGCAAGTACAAGAATGTCTTTTTGGTGGGCACAGCCAACGGACAGCTGGCCATTTTTGAGGATCGAGCAGTCAAGGTACATATGCACTACAGTCTTCCAAGAGATATGTAATCAGTGACAGACATGTTTGTAATAAACCCTTCACTTTGCATTAATATAGAAAGTTTATGCTTTCTTCAATTTTGACAGGTGCTATTCAAATAGTAGCAGGAAGAGTGGGAGCAATAAAACGAAACGGAATTGTATAGATCTGTGATGGTAAACCTATGGCACACCAAGGATCCTTGTAACCCTATTAATCTGTTTATTTTCTTTATTTTCTTGTGTTTTCTCTGCAGGGCCAATGTGCCACACCCTTAAAGGTGATTCTCGTCGGAAGTGACAGCACTCCACTGATGTGTTTAAGTGAATCAAATTATTCCTCAGACAGAAGTACAATCTGGGGCGGCTGTGGATCCAAAATATTATCATTGTCCAGCGATTTGGCTACCCACAAACTCATTGAGACGAAGACGAGTCAGTTGTACGTTTGACTTGCTTAGGTTTTTATCAGGTTGTCTCTCTTCCGGATTGCTTATCACCTTAATCCATTTGTGCCACGTGGCCTATGTTGTAAACGCCACAACATCACTTTCTGATTTCCTTTTGTGTGTGTGTGTATGTGTGTATGTGTCTCAGGTTATGTCACAAGGACTACTGCAACGCCAACATTATTTCTATAGCGGTAGACAAGTTTATCTACTTGGCAAAGAAGGACAGCTATTTCGTGGAGATTTGGGACAGAAAGACGGAGAAGCTTTGTGAACTGATTGACTGCGTGCATCTACTCAAGTGAGTATCGGATATCCCACAGGGTCAGCAACGTCTTGCGAGGGGCTGAGATAACTAGGACAAATAAATCGCTCTGGTTTTCTGAACATCTAGATTCAGTCACAGTATAGTATCAACCTCGTGAAGTCTTCCGCTTTCCACTAGGAATTCAAAATGGACAGTGATTTGTGTGTGTGTGTGTGTGTGTGTGTGTTCTTAAGTTTTCACAGGTATTTATTTGTATGGTATTCAGCTTTGTTCAGGTATTTTCCCATGTCATTATAGTTGTGCTTTTAAAGTTGTAGTGACATTTTGGCAGAATCTCATCTGCCATCATCAGGCTTATGTATTGGGTTCATCTATGTGTCAGACTTTCGCAGACATTTCTGTTTTAAATTTGGTGCTGGCCTCATGCTTTGATAGAATATTTTTTTCTTCATCCTGATTGGTTGGGAGCAAACTCCAAGACCAATAAGCACAGACCAAGACTCCCAACCAATCAGAATGAAGAAAAAAATCATTCTAACAAAAGCATGAGGCTAGCACCAAATTTAAAACAGAAATGGCTGTGAAAGTCTGACACACAGACGAACACTATACAGAAGCCTGATGATGGCAGATGAGATTCTGCCGAAATGTTGCTACAACTTTAAAAGCTATAATGACGTGGGAAAATACCCGAACAAAGCTGAATACCATTCATATGTATGTGTGTGTGTGTGTGTATGTGTGTGTGTGTGTGTGTGTGTAGGTATATATTTATGTATGTACATAGTGTGTGTAGATATATATGTATATGTGTGTTATGTAGGTGTTTGGGTAAATATATATTTTCTCTTGAGAGCAGGCAACAGAATTTCATTTTTAATGTGGGCCACTGTGCTTACAGTAAAAACATGACAATGTTATCTTATCTTATCTCTCATCTTTCATATATCTTATCATGTTATTCTCATCTCTTCTCTCTTCCAACTTATCTTATAATCTTATCATTTTATCTTATCATCTTATCTTTCTTATATCTTCTCTCCTCTCCCCTTCCCTTCCCTTCCCTTCTCTCCTCTCCTCTCCTCTCCTTTCCTCTCCTCTTCATCTCATCATCTCATCTCATCTTAGCTTATCTTCCAAATAGAAGAACGTGATCTGACACAGTTTACCATTTAACTTTCTTATTAGTTTATCAAAGTATAAAACACAAAGGGACACACCCCCCAAAAAAAGCATGAAAAATCTGACACGGTTTAGACATGTCACAACTTCCTGTTTTTCAGAGCGGGGGTACCAAAACTGAGTATGGAATCGAAACAGAAACTTGCTTACCCGGGACGGGTGAAGAGTATCTGTCTGCAGAAAAATACGGCGTTGTGGATCGGGACAGGAGGTGGCCACCTCTTACTACTTGACCTGTCCACGCGCCTTCCCATATGGATAATACAGGGTTTCTGTCGTTCGGTGAGATTCATGATGACAACACAACTAGGTAAATAGTGAAGCGTATATACCAAAAGAAAACCATGGTTGGTTTTAACATCAAGACATTTTACTCCATGTTTGTTTGATCTGTCTTTGTGATGACCCAGAGTGTGACACAAAAATAACCAAGTCACAACAATAGAAGAAAGTCCCTCCAACTAATGCCTCCAACTTGGCCCCAATGTCCAATTATCCTTGGCTGGATATTAAACTCGTAAAGAAAACAGTTTACGGAGGGAGTAAATGCAGTCCGCGCCCAAAGTAAACTTAATTCGAAATAAACCCAACACAAATCACACTGAAGGAATTACTACAGCAGGCAAGGATGATTAATTGCAGACTTTTACCAGATAACGCAGCCATCACAGTTGGGAGGAAGCCAAAACACAGATAAGCTCCGACAAGAATGCATGCTTTGCTTCCAGCAACTTTGCTGTGTGCACTTTGTCCTTTTAACCAGTCCTCCCAGTTGCAGCCCATGAAGGGGATCAGGGCCCCTTCCTCCCCAGTAGACCACACCACTCATGTTTCTCCCTTATCCGCTCCTCCCTGCGTGCCCTAGGATGAAGGGATGGGCCTGGATCTTCCTCTGAATGCCCATCTGGCCTGTGCCCTTCCCCAGTTTCCTCCACAACCACCAGAGCCACATTTCCACTCCCTGTCAGCTGTTCCATCTCTCCCTCAGAGTCAGACTCCAACAGGGGCATGGCAGTCTTTGGCCTTTATTGTAAGTAACAGGAAGAAAAACTACATACAGGCAGGGGTAGGATTCTACCGGTTCAGCCCGGTTCACTGAACCGGTTGTTACACTGGTTGAATCGCACCCCTGCATACAGGTACTCCTCAACCTACGACCACCATTAAGCCCCAAATGTATGTCGCTAAGTGAGAAATCCACTGAGTGAGTTTTGTCCCGTTTTACAACTTCCCTTGCCACCGTTGCTAAGGGAATCCTTGCAGTCGTTAGATTAGTATCCCGGTTGTTAAGTGAATTTTGGCTTCCCCACTGACTTTACTTGTCAGATGGTCACATAAGGGGATCGTGTGACTCCCCCCAGGGACACTGCAACCATCATAAATGTAAGTCAGTTGTCAAGCATTCAAATGTCAATCATCTGCCTCTAGGGATGCTACAACAGTCGTAAGTGTGAGAAACGGTCATAAGATGGGGTCAACCTATTCTCCAAAGCACCTGAGGGGCAGGACAAGAAGTAACGGGTGGAAACTAATCAAGGAGAGAAGCGACCTAGAACTATGGAGAAATTTCCTGACAGTGAGAACAATTAACCAGTGGAACAACTTGCCTCCAGAAGTTGTAAATGTTCCAACACTGGAAGTTTTTAAAAAGATGTTGGATAACCCTTTGTCTGAAGTGGTGTAGGGTTTCCTGCCTAGGCAGGGGGTTGGACTAGAAGACCTCCAAGGTCCCTTCCAACTCTGCTATTCTATTCTATATGCTGAGGCCGGTAGAAGCAAGATTTTCCTGATTTTTTTTTTTCCAAAATGGGGGAAAGACCTGCAAAGTCTCACACCCCACATTCTGGTGCATGCACAGAACTATTTAGGCTTTGACAGGAAGAATATAGGATTTAATTAATTTAATATAGAATTTAATTAAAATACTCATGTTTGTTTTTTTAATTTAAGGCACCCTCAAAAATGTCGTTCTGGTCTTGGGTTATAGCCATGAAGAAGACAGACACATTAAAGGTAAGCCTGAGTCCGTATTTCATTTGTTCTAATTTTGCAGCGGGCCACAATGTTAGCGCTGGCAAGATGATCTGTAGGATGTGGTTAAAAAACAACAACAATAATAATAAAGTTTCAGTCATAGTCACGGCTGCTGTAGGAAGAAAAATCCGTCTGGTTTAGTTCCAAGCCGGGAGAGACTGTATGCGCTGGAAAATAAAATGGAGGGCTGACTGGAAGGAAGGACTCAGTTTATTGAGGAGTAGAATCGGCATGCGGTTCTGGGACAGCTGCCAAATTAGGATTTTTACACAGCTTACAGCAGGGGTGTAGATTTCATCAAGGGCCGCATCAGGGTTGTGTTTGACCTCGGAAGGCCTGTGGGGTGGGTGTGGCCATGGCCTGATATGGGACCCGTATTGGGGGCTTCTGTGGTGGCCAAGAGCTAAGGCAGGACTTCCTTGAGACCCTCACTCTCTCTCATTATAATCTTCCTTCTGTCAGCGTTCCAGCAAACCTCCATTCCAACCAATAACTCCTGAGACAGACATCTCCTCAAAGGTTCCTTTTTATTTGGATAGTAAACTGACACATCTGTGGCATCCCGAATCTGAAAGTTTCGGGCTTCCTTGCAAAAGTAAAAGCTACAAATCCACCCCCTGCACCCATCATCTCATCACATGGCCCAATCACCATCGTCCCAAAGTAAGACTTCCTTTTCACTATGCACCACACTTCATGACCTTCAACCAGGAGAAGAGTTTTATTTCGTCTAACCAGATATTCTCCAATGATTCCACCACCCCCCATTCCCACTTTCCCAGGCTCAATTATGGCAGCGTGGGAGCATCGGATCTCAATATGGCTTCCAAAGCTGACACCTACCTTCCTCCCTCCCTCCCTCCTTCCTTCCTGCCTCCCTCCCTCCTTCCTTCTTTCCTTTCTTTCCTTTTCTTCTTTTTCCTTCCCTCTTCCTTCCCCTCTTTCCTTCTTTTTCCTTCCTTGCTCTCTTCCCCTCTTCCCTTCTCTTTCTTTCTCTTTCCTCTTTCCCTTTCACTGTTTCTTCTTCCAGGCTCAAATGCAAAAGGGGAATCATTTCTCCTTTTGTTTCGTTTTGAATTTTAGTTTTGCCAGCCCTCTGCTTCATTGGTAGATGCACCACGGGCCAGTCCTTCACTGTTTCCAAGCCAGCCCCACGGATCAGATCTAAGCACCCCACTGGCGGGATCTGGCCCACAGGCCTTGAGTTTGACACCCCTGGTTTAGAATATTTTGTCATTTTAAGGTTTGCTTTGTGGGCTTTTATTACGTGATTGGTTTTACTTGTTGCACAAAGGTTCATGATGGGCCTTAATTATTGGCTTCCTTGGTCCTAATCCTGTCAGGCAGGTGTAATTGATTTTATCCTATTATCTATTGCCTCTAGCCTGCCTTTCTTAATGAACTGATATTGCTTCCACTTTTCTCAATGAACGGAGTTAATGTCCTGTCTGGTCCTTCTTTATCCCATCAGCTGGAGCTGAAGATGTTTTGTTGATGAATTTCTTAATGGGCCCAAAATATCCATCTCTAAAGACTTCAGGCATCTGCTGGAGGCTGTTGGAAGCCGCTTTCTGTCTTTGTTAAAATTTTTCTCCATTTCTCCTTTGGGGAAATATAACATTCTGTCTCTTTTAATCATCATTCATCATCTTCTTATAATGAACCCGTAATCCCTTGCGGGGTGGAGTCTGGGCAACCGAATGGAGCTAGCAGGGTGTTTTAATGGCCCAATGCCCTTCCTGTCACCAGTACAGAGTTTTGTTCAGCCGATATATACTCATTGTGCCCAGAGAGAGAAATATCTGCCTCTACCTAGGATTGAATTCACAGCCTCCTGATTGTGAGGCGAGGGCTCCACTAAGTCACCACACCACTCTTCCATAAGCTAGAAAGATATTAATTTATTCATTCTCCCAATCGCAAGTCAACCACATCAGTAATCCAGATAATTATTGAAATGATATAAATCTAAATCATTTTTCCCTCAGAGACATTGATTGTACCAGCTATCACTGTTCTCCTTACAAGCTGAAAGGAAACAAGTGAAATATAGTTTGAATTCTGATAAGTAATTTATCGTAGAAAAATCTAAGGAGTTATTAGGAAAGAATTCCAGCAACCTTTATGTATCTGTGGCTTTCTTGGGATCAACCAATTTTAGTTTAAATAAAGCCAAACCAGATTAGTACAATAAATATCTATTCAACTTGTGTATGAAAAGTGAGACTTATTTAAAGTGAAATCAAAGTTCACATTTTTGGTAATTTTTTTCTCCTACTCATGCTAAGCAATATGCCTACCTCTCTATTTTGGCTCCTGTTTTTAAAAGGCAGCGAATGCAAGCACTGACAAATGTGCCCAGCATTTTTGTCTTTGTAGTATCTTTGTTGATTATTTTTTAAATGATTTTTTTTTCACAGGGATACTGTCTTCTGTGTCCGTCTGGGATGTGAACCTGTCACATGAAGTGCAAAACTTGAAAAAACATATTGTGATGAGGGAAGCACTAGCAGAGAAAATGAAGCATTTTTCAGTGGATTAACTTGAAGGAATTTACTAGATTTACACGAGACCGTTGAAGTTAAGTTTTGTTGAAGGACAGGTGGAAATACTCGTTAAATGCAACAATACTGCTGGTTTCCTTTAAAATGAAACACAAATATTATTATTATTATTATTATTATTAAATTATGCAGCGATGTTTAATATTCCACACTAAAAGGAGAAAAGGGTGGCAGCACAAAAATGTATTTCTTCTGGTTTCAGATGCCATTAGGTTTAAATTCATTCTCTTTTGATGCTTTTCCTGTTCTATTGATATCTTTACATAGGTATAATTCAATACGATTTAACTGTTTTAAGTACATGAATAAAAATACGGAAGCTATTTAATTACCAGGAAATTAAAGGCATCGTAAGTATAATTTTTGATAGCACCAACTCACCCTTGGGCATATTTCAAAATAATTGGGATGAAATGTTTAGGGCTTCACGTCAACCCAATGTTTTTCTCTGGCTTTGTTCCACTCACGTTTTTTCCACCCAAGGCTTCTGTCCAAGGTGCTACTGCTGCTTTAAAAATTTAACTTATTAAATTTAATGAGACCTTTAATAAAAGGTTATAGGAATGCCAAGATTTTCTCCGGTTTGGATGGAAGCCAGAAAAAGGAAGACTGTTTTAATGAATTGTAAGGGAAGTGCTGTGCTCAAAGGAGAACCGAAACATTTTAAAATCAGATGAAGTGTTAGTCCCACTTCAGAATGCCTTGGTAAGACCTCATTTGGAATACTGCATCCAGTTCTCGTCACCACAATACGAAAAAGATGCTAAGGCTTTACAAAGGGTGCAGGGAAGAGCAACCAAGATGTTTAGGGGCCTGGAGACCAAACTGTGCGATGAATGATATGTCTAGTCAAACGAAGAGAAGGCCTAGGGCAGAGATCTCCAAACTTGGCAACTTTGAGACTTGTGGACTTCAACTCCCAGAATTCCCCAGCCAGCATGACTGATGGAGGAATTCTGGGAATTGGAGTCCGTAAGCCTTAAATTGCCAAGTTTGGAGGCCCCTGGCTAAGGGGTTGACATGATAGCAGTCTTCCAGTATTTGAAGGGCTGTCACAGAGAAGAGGGGGTCAATCTATTCTCCAAAGCACCAGAAGGCTGGACAAGAAGCAATGGATGGAAACTCATCAAAGAGAGAAGCAACCTGGAATTAAGGAGAAACTTCCTAACAGGGAGGACAGTGAACCAGTGGAATGAGCTGCCTCCAGAAGTTGTGGCTGCTCCATCACTGGAGGTTTTCAGGAACAGTCTGTGTCCGGCCTTCCAATTCTGTTTTTCTGGATTCCTTCCAAATAGTTTTCCACAATGGGAAAGACAAATAGTGTCAGGATTCCGGCAATCACAAATCATAAGCCTCAAGCCAAGCTTCAGAAAACGTCAAAAGATTTATTAGGAGCAACATGCCAGCATGACCTGTATGAAGCCAACTCTGAGATATGTAATTTACAATCACCTATGACCCTGTTTCCCCCCATGCTCCTGGGTGTATCATAATTCAGCTTCCCCAATGAAACACAGTTCATGGGCTGGGTGTCATCGCTCACATTCACCAATAAAGGATTTTCCCAGACGGTATACCCAGGTGCCTAAGTTACAATCTTTGTGAGATAAGCTTGGAATGTGCTTCTGATTTTATTTGCTGTGTGCTCCTTCAGGTCTTTCCCCCACTCTTTCTCATGGCAACTTGGAAACAGGCATAGGAATGTTTTACAAGTTGACAATAGGTTCACTGTTATTGTTACTCCATCCAGCTATAGAGAGAAGAGTCTCTATCAATATCAACTTTGGTATTATCGAGTTGTTTATAATCAATGTGCAAAACTTGGGCTGTGTTTTATTTTTTTTCCTAAATATAGACCTTTCCACATTTTGCAAAAGCAAACTAAGATTTAGTTACTAGCAACTTGAATCTTGGTTGCATGTTACAAGCATGGGGATATTCTTTTTTGATTTTCCCTGCTGGCAAGCTTTCTTGAACCCTGATGCTTCTGGAATCAGGGATTGCATTTTCCCTGAAGCAAATTGGAATTATCAGGAAGAGGAAAAGAAAAATGTAAAAGGGGCAACTTCTTTGATTTTAGTGGCACAGACAGAAGAATAAGTTTTGCCCACAAGACATTCTAGATATTGAAATCCCCATCTGGAAATAACAATAAAATAACTATTTTTAATAGTGACTCTGTGGTTACAGATTAATTACTGTACTCTTGGGACAGTGTTATTTTTCCATAACTCTTTTGTGTATATGCAAAAACGTAATTTAAAAACGTGTGTGAACAGTAAATATTACAATAGAACCAGCATTTCTGTGTCTTAAGCAAAGCAATTCTTTCTGTATATTATTTGGGATCTAATCTGTGCAGTTAACAGAGTTTTATTAATGATCATTTCAAATCAAATAAAATATTTTGATACCGATTCAAGCTTGTCAGTAGTTCAGTTCACTGAAATCACATAATTTCTGGCTATCTCAACTCTACTAATCATACATTGAAAGATTAAAAGATTAATATATCTTGTCAGTCTCCCAACATTCTAAGCTATCAGTGTTTTCTAACAGAAAAGCAAATTATTTGATGTGGTTCCAGAAGGAGAGGGAATATTAAACTCATTTGGATGGACGCAATTAGTGGTTTTGGTTCTGAAAGCAAGGTGTGCTTCAAGAAAAACATCCACTGGATTTTCTAAAATTTAAAACCCTTGGAGAAAACAATACCTGAATATCATAAACTAGGTAGGAGAGAGATGTGGTCCTTTCTGAATCTTCAGTGGGTTCACTTGGGATTTGGAGATATTTTGTGTGACAAGAGGCAGCATATCCTTTTAAAGATAATTCAGTAAGTCCCAAAGGTGCTTTTTCAGGAGGCAACTGGACTTTCTTGTTTTTTCTTTTGAAGACGTTTCACTTCTCATCCAAGAAGCTTCTTCGGCTCTGACTGGATGGTGGGAAATGGAAGGATTTACACTTATTGCAGACATCTGGTCATTTGCATCCTTTTAGAGGGTCATTGGGGCTACTTGGAGGTTTGTGTCTTCAGGGTCACCTGAGTGTTGCTGAGTCTGCAATTTTTCCAGCTGTCTGCAAGGAGTATAAATCCTTCCATTCCCCCACCATTCA